TTTGTTCATCAACAATCACATCTGTTGGACCGTATAATTGATCGATTCGACGTCCTTTTTTATTTCCACCTGCAATAATTTTTCCTTCTTTTGCATTATGTTTCCATTTAACAATACGATGATTTTCATAATCAGCAACGAAAATATTTTTGTTTTTATCAATAAAGATTCCTTCAGGACGATTGAGTCGATGTAATTTTTGTCCTCGTCCATTTCCACCAGCCACAGTAATGCCATTTTGTTTCCATTTGTATAGTTTTGGTTCTAGAAAAGGATGAAAAAAAAGATATCGATTAAAAGAAGGAGAAAATTGATTTTTAATCAAAGAAAAAGAAAAGATTAACTTTGAATGAAATCCTGATGAACGTGTTTAAGGAAAAATCAAATTTGCTTTGATTTTTTTGTTCAGTGTTGAAAAGAATTTCTTAACAAAAAAACATAAATCGTTTAAAGTTTATGTGAAAAACAAAAATAAATTCTTCTCAAAAGAATTATAACAAAAAAATCTTTTGTTGTTTTTTTGAATAGAGTCTAATAAAATGAAATGAAGAAATATTTTGCTTTGAAAAGAAAAAACTATTTATAAGTTGTATTTTTTAGAATGAAAATTTTGAAGAAAATGCATTTTTATTGGACGGTAATTTACTTTTGAAACAAATCGAGAAATCTCTAATTGGAAAAGAAAAGAAGGGAAAATAAAATGATAGAAAGATTTTGTTTTTGTTAAATAAAGGGTGTGGATGTGGACGTGGATGATTCTTCTCAAATATCCACACCTCAAAATTTCCAAAAACAGAACACAATTGTTCTGTTTTGGGGATGTTACTTGTGGATGTTGAGTTCTATTATTCTGTTTCGAAAATAGCACTTCGCATTCCATAACACATTTGTTCTGTATTTAATTATTAAATTCTTTTTGGGCGACTATATAATTTCAAGTATCATTAGGTAATATATGGATGCGTAGGTAAGCTATAAATTTAGAGTTTACATGTGGAGCTTATTTTTTTGGACCCAAGAAATATGTCAATTCTTATTTTTTCTTCTATAACAAAACTCTATCATTCATTGTTGTTTTATGAGAATGAGTCGACGTTGTAAAAATTATTGTTTCGGTTTTTTTAATAAAAATAGCCCATATTGTGATACAAACTCCTATAATCCTATCTCTAGATCAGCTCATAATGCTGTCCTAAATGTATTATATTTTGGTATCTCTTCCAGGTGCAATCTCGGTGATCACATTTAGATCTATTTATTTGTAATCACTGATCTATGAGTGCACTATGTTCGAGGTCGGAGAATTTGCTGATGTATAAATACATCGGATTTTTTTAAATAAGCATGAAGTTTTCTCTACATACTATATAAATAAAAGTAAACACCGATGATAGTTATTAGGCCAAGAACGCCAATGATAATTAAAATCAATTTTGTTTTCAGACGAAATAAAGATCTAAAATGAGATAGATATATTTCGAATATGAATAAATCAAATACTTACGATCCTGTTCGTGGACGAGTAGATTGTCTAATATTGTTTTCATTCTCTGAATCAGGCTAAATATCAAAAAAAAATTATTCATCTAGAATTCTTTAAAAAAGTGTTGATTGTTCTCATAACTAACCATCGAATTTGTTCAATTTTTTAATCTTTTCTAGAATAAGAATGAGGAAAATTAAATCTATTTCAGAAATATTTTATTTCAAGAATGAATATTTCTTTATAAATATTCCTTAATATATTTGATCTATTTTTAAAATTTATTTTAACTCAAATTTAATTAAGACGTAGACGGGCGTATCTATCTTGAAGAAAGACAAATACAGTCTGTTCTTCTCAACTTTTGCTCTTTAGCAATCGACTGTGTCGCTATAATTCAAAAAAAAATGGACAGCCGAATATTCTGATACGTTTCATACCTTTTTTAAGATAGTATTCTTCAGGGTTTGTATATCTACAATTAAAAATAAATAATTCATTGAAGAGAAAAGATAATGATACAAACGAAGATAAATCTGTACCTTATATATCTCGCATTAATAACACAGATACGATATCGGTATTTAATACTTTCATAAGGGGATTTTTCACTGTATGGGAATATTCAATTTTGTTGTTATCAGAGGTGCAGAATCTTCCTCATGCGCCCCCGCGCGGGAGGTGGGGGAAATTTTTTTTTGGGAAGATTCTGCACCTCTGGTCGTTATGTATACGAACGTGTTAAACTGAAAAGATAAAGAATCACTAAAAAATTTGCATTACAAAACTCGAATCGTCTGATAATGTCAACGTGATCATATTTGTTTCTTCAATGTGCAACAATGCCTTTCTTCCTTTATACGCAGATAAAAAGAAAGAAAGTACAAATAAACTTTGTTGGCTTTTACTTAATCAATAAAATTAAAATATAGATAAAAAAAACTTAATTCTATTTTATTAATATTAGCTCCAACAAGTTATTGTAAGATTATTTTGAATTCAAAAATTTAATACAGAAATAATTTGTGAAATATGTCTATCTACATACATATATATCAATTGATATGAAATTATATATGAAAATATGTGTAGAAAGTAAAATTTTCTCTTTATATGTTTATTCATAATCAGATGAGAACAATTAAAGAAGAAATAATTTTGAACTCTTATATTTTCATTTATTTATTTATTAAATAAATATAACCTAATTTTAATACTGCATCAAGAGGATGAATTTTTATATATGTGTGTGATATAGTTAGTTTCCTGTTATTGATGGATTTGTGTTTGTGTGCAGATCGAAAAAAGAAAAATATTCGATTATTTTCATCAAATAAAAATACTCAAATAGAATTCTATCAAAGGCAAAATCCTCATTTCAAATAGTTATTATTCAGTTCAATTCAAATAACAAAAGTTTTTTTTTTCTTTTCCCTTGGAAAAATCAGCAAAAGTTGAAAAAGTTTAACATTTATTTTTTGGAATTTTTAATCAAAACTATCAAATTTGATTCAATTTTAAAGAAAAAAACCAAAAACATTTCTCTCCATTCTTTTATCAAAATATATCTTTCTCTTCGAATTTTAATCGATTTTTTTCATTGATTTTCGACAATAAAATTTTATTTTTCCTTTTATTTCACGATTATTTATTCAATAAAAAAATTTCATTCACAAAATGACTTCAAATTTCTGAATTCGATCGTTCGAATAATCAGCAACATAAAGATTTCCTTCATCGTCAAAAGATAAACCAGCGGGACGAGCTAATTGATTTGATTCACTTCCTTGCCGATTCCCACCAACAACAACTTCATCTTCTTCTTTTCCTTCACCCCAACGCATTACTCGATGATTCCGCATATATGCCACATAGATTTGACCCAAATCATCAATAATGACTCCTTGAGGATAAGGCAATTGATTCAGATTTCTTCCTTTACCATTTCCACCAGCCACAATTATTCCTTAAAAAAGTTCAAAAATGTTTAATAAAATAACAAGTTTTATTTGATTATTAAATAGTTTATTCAATAGAAATTAACAGAAAACATTGTTTGATCTCATTTAAAGATTGTTGAGATCATTTCTTTTTTGATTATGCGATCATCACAGTTTATGATCGTCGCTATAAGAAACAATCATGAAAAATTTCTCCGTGGCATTAATACGATCTATTACATAGAAACCAAGCCTATTAATAATGTGCAGTCTACAAAAATTGTTGTCAATTAAAGTCATTCTATATAATCTCTTCTCCTTTGTAATAAAAGAGTTAATATCTTCTATTGTATTATTCTAAACAAATCTCTTTACAAGTTTTCTATTATGATACTCATGTTTATATAATTCTCTAGACTCTTCTTAAATTGTTCTCAAAGATTCAAATGTTTGTCTAATAAAAATATTGTGAAAATGAAGTATTTTAACGTAAAATCTCTTATTTATTAATTGAATAATTTGTGAATATTGGTTTAAATGTGTAAAGATTCTTTTATTATATTTAGTAAATCATATTTTTCGAAGAAGTTTCTAATATGAAAAGATTTTCTATGTTGAAATTAATGAATGAAATTAAAATAATAACAAAATATGTGAATTAGATGAGAAGAGAATCAAATAATAAATCTATTCGATGAATTTATTATTTATAATTATAGGATCATCGAGAATATCAAAAACTGAAAATTCAGAGTTTTCTTCTAAAAAGCTTTTATTGTGAATCGAATTTCGTTAGGATTAATCATTTTACATTTATATCAAGTTTTAAAAGAAAAACAAACGTTAAATTGTAAGCGAAACGAATTTATGATACAAAATCTAATTAACATCGTTAAAATCAAATATTTCTAATTGAAAATCAATTCAAAGAACATTATTATTATATTCAGTTTTATTGCATTTTAATTATTTTTAAATTTGATCTGTTAGGGATTTTTTTTTCTTTTATGAACAATTATTTGCCTCTAAAATATAACATTTAGTTGTTTTTGATATTGTCTCGATGAAAAATCAAATAATCTGATTAAAATCAAATAAAGTTTATGCGTTTTTAGCTGATTTATGATTAGAAAAATCGAAGAACTTTGAACGTAAAATTATTGTGATTAACTAAGACTGAACTTGGTTTAAGTCACGCTGATCTTCGACTTCTATCGATTTCTCTTCTCTCATCTCATTTTGTTTATTTTCAATTATCTTCCGAATACTTTTCTCTTAAATAACTCAATTGATCAATGAAATAAAAATCATATTTATAACTAAAACATTTTCTCTCTTATTTATTTTAATTCCGATGAATTTCAGTCAATACAAAACACGTTTTGAAATCAAATGAAAAGTGAATAGAAACTTCTTCATTTCATTTGTTTCTCTTTGTAGAGATTAATAAAAGAATTTTATTTAAACAAATAAATTAAGAGTGTGGATGAGGACGTTTATCCACACCCTCATGTAATATTATAATGTTACCTATAGTTTCATTATATCACTCTTTTTGTGTACTCAAAAAAAGTGAGTACACTTCTAGAATCGGTCAGTGTGGCCGGCCGTCCGGCCGTCCGTCCGGCCGTATGCACGATAACGTTTGAAAGAATAGTCCGATTGAGCTGAAATTTTGTGCACAGTTTAGTCTTATTTAGATCTCAGTCGAGTTCGAAGATGAGCCTAATTGGCTGGGCCATTCCCGAGTTATTGCAAAAATACTGATATTTCCCTATGATTTTTCTATATTTTTTTTTGGGAAAAATAATATAATGCCATTCTCGTGATCAATTTTTCTACTAAAGTCAAATAAATTTCCACTTATTATAAAGCATTCAATAAAGAATTTCGCAAGCTACAAGATGGTACTAAATTATAGGGGTAAACGGGTTGCACACAAGATTGTCTCTATATAACAGGGTGGGTAAACTATAGAAAACTCATATATGTTGATAATGTGTCAGTGCGATATTTGTTTGTTTTTCATATTGCTAATAACACTTTTTCTAGAGTAGATAGAACTCATCAAGAGCTTGAAAATGATATAAAATAATAGGGGGTAGATATGCTGCGCTCGATATGTCTTTAGTATCACACTTGTAAAAAACCATGAAAAAGCCATATACCTTAATAGTGTGTCTGTATGATATTCGTTTGTTCTCCGTAGAGTCAACGTTATGTTTATGTACTCGAAAAATGAAGTTCACGATAGATTGATGTTGATTAATCTATCTAAAAGAATTCATCCGTGAGCGCACCAAGGAACTGCCTCTTAGTCCCTGCGCATGTCCTCTTTTTAGTCTACTCAAAAAGTGAGTATATTACTAGAATCGATCAGTGTGTTCGGCCAGTCGTTTACACGATACCTTGCGAAAGGAGAGTCAGATATTGATGAAGTTTTATATACAATTTAGACTCATAAAGATCTCGGCCGAGTTCGAAGTTGAGCCTAATTGGACGAACCATTCTCGAGTTATTAGAAAAATACTGATATTTTTCTATGATTCCCATATACACTTTTTGCAGTACACATAACTCTCGGATACAATCCGAAGTTTCCACATTTATTT